GAGCCTCTGGTGGGGTGCAGAGCGGGCACTAGGACACCGCCCCGTCCCCTAGGTCTCAACAATCCAGCTGTTGGTGAGCCTGCCCCACCCTTTTGTCCCCCCGCGCGGCCAGTCCCAGTAAACGCCGCCAGTAAACGCGCCTCGCCCGCCAGGCGCGAGCTGGACCTTTGCAACTTTCGGTGAGGGCTGCACGTCTCTCTGAAAGCGAAAAGCACAGGTGGAAGTAACGTCTGCACGCGAGCAAATTAGCGGGTGCTTCCCAACGCACCAGGCAAAACCTGAGATCATCATGGCAAAAAAAAATATATATATATATTTATATATCCAAGAGTTCTTTCGTAGTATACTAGGGTATTTAATTATGATTGCGGAAAACGGCAAGAGGGACTGGTTTGCTTACAAGAAAGTAGCAACTGGTGAGTTTTCCCGAATTTGTCTTTGAAGGTTTAACCGCTATGCTGTCTTACAAAGAAAATATAGCAGAAAGATTCTAGGGTACACACAAATTTAATGTCGGTTTCAACTATTTTTAAGCAAAGAGGGTCATATTTTAAAAGGGGTTAGGACAGTGCCAGGTACGCCGTAAACACTATATTAAATCGATTAAATAAAGAATACCTAGGGCAAAAGACCTCAGCGTTTTGAACATTATCACAAGTACATACTCATTCATCCTCAACTACTTAATCACAATTAGGCAACACGAGATTTTTCAATTAGGTCTTTTATTCCCCTGAAGTATTCCATTTGCCCAGCCCCCGGTTAGGCGCCTTGTCTGTCTACAACTGGAAGTGGGTCTTGGGTCAGAGACAGAGGGAGGAAACTTTTTAAAGCGTTCCAGAATTGTCAAAACGGTTGCGGATTGGCAGTGGGGATGGGGAGGTGTAGGAGTGGCATCTTTTGAGAGAAAGAAAAGAGAGAATGAGAGAACCACGGGATTTCAAGCCTCATCGCCTCTCTGGGACATCCTTTTCAAGGAAAGTTGGTAGCAACTAGGAAGAGCTCAGGCAGAAGAAAAGATGTCCGCTCTCACTGCACGTCTCTCCTTTCTTTCTTTTTGAAAGATTTGTGCAATGAGATAATTAGACCAAAAGATACGAGGGGCTTTCCTAGAGATAAAATGCCATTAGGAAAGAAAAAGGAATGGAGAAAGGGAGACTCAGTCGCCTTCGGAAATTGGTCATCCAGACCGTGTTTTGTGCTTTTGTGATTCAACTCAATAACGCCAGAGTGAAATGGTGAATGCAGAGAACTTAAAAATCAGAATCAATGGTTCTGATTACCACCCCTCCTTTGATTCCCTTCCAAGTTTAATATAATAAAGTTATGGCTTTAGCCTCTGTGTTGATAAATGTGGTGATCTTGACCAAATGTTATCTTGTACCGCAACTTGCGAGTTTTGTTGCACAAACTAATGACGTGATTTGATTGCTTCGTTGTAATTCTACAATTTCCCTTGCAGCATTTTTGGAATAAACTGGGAATCTATTATTATTACTGGTGGTCTATGTTTTTTTTTCCTTCATTAGAGCCCTCTGATTTTTCAAGATTAATCATCAGTTTATTATTTGTTGCTTCTCTGAATCCTCTGAGATATTGCTTACAAGTAGTTAAAACCCTCTACCAACCTCAGCGTTTCTGTTGGATTGGAAAAATCACCAAGGCATGACACCATTTAAAAACTTTTTTAACTGAAGTTTTCAGAAAAAAATAGAGCAGCTCTATTATTTAGAAACATTATGTTAGTCTGATAAACCTAATTATACAGAGTTCAAATTGAGAAGCTCAATGATTTCCACACCTAAAATATTATAATGATTAACACTGCTTTCTCTTGCAAAGAGAGGGCACACAGATTGCCCTGAGAAGTGCCAGTCTTATTTGCAATTGCTGGGGCAGGTGACAAGCAAGTGTGTATCTGTGGGCAGTCTGGTTGGGCCGCCTTTCCTGACTGCCGGGCTATTGTGAGCTGGTGATGCCTTAAAATGTGTGAGAATGTTGTGTCCTGGGAGTGGAGGCCAAGGGCAAGATCCTTGTAAATTTCAATACCTTTCCCAGCATCAGGCTAGCAGCAGGCAGGCCCTAACCTAGGGTCACTATGTGACACATATTTGCAAGCCAGTAACGGAAAACAAAGCTGAAAGCAAGGGCAAATTTTGGCCCACCAACCTTGAAGCCATCTCGGAAAAAGAGCTACTTTACCAGTAAACAATTATTCTTGCCTGGGCAGTCCCACAAAGTGCCTTGCATTTTTTGGCTTGTCTCAGTAGGTGTTTCTTATTTGTCACTTCAGAGGGTCCAGGCTAAGGGGCTCTAAGACCTAAAACCCTTTCTGCTGGAAATTAGACTGTTTACATGGAACTCTGCTGTTAAGGGACAATTTATTTAAGAGCTTTTATGTCATGGTGTTATTAGTACTTAGCACATGTGCAAGGTAGAAGACTGGTTTTACTTTAGAATCCTTGAGAAGAGGGCTGCATAGCAAGTTTCCAGTTTCTTATATTTTAGTAAGCCACAATCTTAAGAGAACTTACTGTATTAACTTAATCTTTGTGGAAGTTAAATTGATGTTGACAGGATTTCCTTCCAAGGAAATTATTTTAAGTTTTCACTTCCTTTTTCTTTTCTTTTTTACTTTTGGGAGGTTTTTGCTATAAGGCGCGTGTGCTCGCCAGAGAGACAGAGACAGAGACAGAAAGCAAGAATCACCCCCCCTCCCAGGGGGTATGGCCACACTGCAATCCCTTCTCCTCCACTTTCCTCTCGGTATCTTGGGCACACACGCTAACGCGCCTGGCGTGAGTTGAAGCCACTGGGTCCGGGACTCGAACCACGGTTGATTGACTACATGGGAGTCCAGCGATATAGCCATTACGGTAACTGCTGGTCCCAATTTCCATTTTCTTGAAGTTAGTTTGATGGATATATTTCTCTGCCTCTGCTAAGGATACAGTGAAATACATTCATGTCTTTCATGAAATGTTTTTTTAATTTTCTCATTGCCAAAGGGCTCCAGCACTCAATGGAGAAAGAACTAGAGACAGAGAAGAGAGGGAGAAAAGAGAGAGGGGAGGAAGCACCCCCAGTGAGGCATGGTAAGGCTACAGTCCCTTCTCTGTTTCTCTATCCTGTTGGGATTTGGGTGAGCACACACACATGTACCCCATGTGTTTGTCAAGGAGCCAGGGCCAGGATTTGAACTGA